GACCTCAAAGTTAGCTGTAAGCTAACAGCTTCCTTCACTGCCCTATTATATAAAGCTTTTCTTTTTACGCTAAGGCCTATGATGAAAAAATAAAACCTAACAGACAGGATACACTTCCAGTCTCGTGGAAGGCAGGTTTTACACAGGTAATCCCCTCTACATCATTTGAAACTTAAGCCTACCAAGAATGATCCAGAACCAACAGTTCTTAATAGGGACATTATAGAAAGCAAAAAAGCAGATTTTTTCCCTGCTGAAAGTAAAACCTCCTCATATATACCTATTCTGCCTGAAGCAGGATACTAGACTATTATTTGAAAAAATACATGAAAAATTTTTAAGAAAGCAACCTTTGTTCCTTACACATGATTTTGTACCTTCAAGATACATTTTAAAGACTGAAGATACTTATAACCATTAACAATGAGAGTAAATAGAAGATATAGTTAACTCATTTTTCAGTAACAGAAAGAAGCTGTGCCTCTATTTGCACACAGAATAGCAAGAACAGAGAAAATACCTTCATTTTAGTGACATTTAGACAAAGAAGAGAAATTAGCCAAAATATTCTGTAAAATTATGTAAGAGCTCACACACATAAAAAGCACACATCTGCATCACCCTCTATCCAAGCTGTCATACTGCAGAGCATCCAAAAGCACAGAGTGAGTGCAGTTACAGGCACAATGCTGGTCCTGCAAGTTTTGACTTCTGTATAGAAATAAATATGAAAGGAAGTGTCTGAATTTCTGTCATTTCTTTTTGCAGGTGGTTCAATCCATCAGCCACATGCCCCAATTTCTCCTTGGCAGCAGAAGAGCAGAAGTTTAGATTCGAGAATAATTTAACAAGCAGGACCACACACAGCTACAGGCACAGCAAGAATGGAGAAGAGAGCTGAGGTTTTCCTTTCACAACTGCTCTTTTGAAATGCTTTTGAATTTAAAAGTCAGTTTTACTGTTATGAACTTAGAAAATATACATTTAGTCCTTTATGAGAAGAGGGTTCCATATACTTCCATTTGCTTTATTAAATCCTTCAAATTCCATGCCTACTCTTCTCTCTACAGTGACAATACTATTAATTTGTTAAAGAGCTAGATTAAGATGTTCATTCTTTACATGCCAAGTATTCTGAAATGTCTGCACAAATGTCATCTGGAAGGTCTTACACACTTACATAAACCAAGGAAGAATCCTCAGACCTTACTGCAATGCAGACAGTTGCAGCTTTATATTTAACCTTAGCTGCAACATTTCTGTATTGCAATGTAATTAAGATATATAAATACATATTTGATCTAAAGCTGAGAATACATCCTGTCAAATTCTTTTTTAACACAGTTTAGTTCAACAACTGATTACAGAGTGAAGAAAGCACTTACCCGAATTAGAATCTGGAAAAGACAAATAGCAAATATTGGTTTTCTAAAAGGTAGGGAAAAGAAGACATCTGTTATATTTCCTGAGATATATTATATTTGTACTTCTTAAGCTAAAACCAAATAATATATAGCAACTATGACTTACCTCTTTATCTGTGAGTTTGGAATGTGGAGGATATATCACCTACAGGAAAAAAAACAGTATTATTTTATTCACAAATATGCTGGGTATAAGCAATAAGTTTCCATGAAATATTTTAACAGTACAACACACCAACACCTTCCCAGCTGTCGGACATTTTCAGTTGTAAGCTATTAATATTATTTCTCACTTCTTATTTTCATATGCTTTTAAGCTTTCTTGATCACCCATCATTACAAGATATTTTGGATGCCAGTTAGAGACCAAACATGTTCATTTAAAAAGGTATATTCAGAGTGTACATTCAGAGTAGTTGAGATTTTTGGTGCAAAAGGTCTCAAAGGAGAGCAAGATCTTTTAGATTTAACTTGTACATGCAAAATTCAGTAGATGATTTACATTTAAAGCAATCACACACACATTATTGTCTGAAATCCGATGCTATCAAAAGCTAGGCTGGAGTAACCAAAATTCAACAACAACAAAACACAATCTATATTATTACCAGCTCTTGGGAGGATGAACACTAGTCCCTAATGACAACTGTGAAAACTCAAGGAATAAACTCAAAGTCGTGGCTTTTTGCACTTAGAGAAAAACAAACAGATCATGTAGCAAGTTTTCACAACAAAGAAATCAAAACTGATGCAACACAACTAAGATGCAGAAGCACCATTATTTCTGAAAAGGAAGGATGTACGAAATCAGTGATTATGCAAGCAGGTGAGAACAGAATATACAGAAAAGAGGACAAACCTCAGACACCTAAATTTCACCTAAAAAGGTCCTCAAAACAACCCACAACCCACTCCAAAACTCCTGAAATGTGTGGCTAGCTCATAAGCAAAGGAAATTTGACATAAATTCCAGGTTTATGTTTCAAAGAAAGTTTCAGGGCTTCAAAGGTGGGATGTAGTCAAAGAGCAGAAATTCAATGCAGGAACAGTACCTCAGTAGCTTCTTGCAGTCCTCATGTTACCATACAGCTAACATCCCATTATCTCATTTAATCTTGTTCTGCTTAATGTAGGTAAATTTATTTCTTGGTAACACAACACTATCCTAGTCTATAGAAAACAACAGATATACCCACCAGCTGATCTCTGACTAAGCACCTTTCTGTACTCCAGCCATAAAATCTCCAGTGCATTTTTTTTTCCCCTCAGTCTCCTATCAAATGATGTCCAGCTGTGTAAGACATTATTAGCACAACTGAAGCTGAAAGCAGACACCAGAGGAACACCTGCATTCTGCATGCAGTAAACCCATCAATGCCTCTTTTCCAACTCTTAATGCTTTCCTTTGCTATCTTATGCTAAGCAGCTGTTCACTAAATGTAACTCTTTCAGAAGCTGAATGATGCTGAATTATCCACATTTAGTCAGAAGATTGCCATACAGACTTGAATTCGTACATGTTCTGCTCACTAGCAGGTGTTTCTTCCCAGAATTCCTGTGTAAACTGAAGCTAATTACTTTTCCTGTAGCTACATACCGGGGAAAAAAAAATAACAACAAGAAAAACAGGCCTTAGTTCCGTAGACATTTTAAGTCTCATTTTAGGCATTCAGTTAAATTAATGTGACTGTCGACTGAGAAGTTTGCAGCCAGGAGACAGGCTGTGCTTCCCTCAGCCACTGAGCAGAACAGCTGCCCAAGTCACAGGTTATACAGAAATGCTTGTCTTTGTTCTTAACACCACCTTATAAGATCAAGGGAAGAGAACTCAGGTAATTAGCACAGTATCCTGGTTTTATCTGCATTTCTTTGTGGCCAACAGCTATGTATTTTACATATTTTAATAGCTGGATTGGTTGACTTTTAGGCCAGTCTGCCATGCATTTATGCTGGCACCTCTTTAAGGCAAGAGAAAGAAAAAGACACTTTCCCTGCAGACCAAGAGTTTGCTGCGCAGTCACATGGTGAACAGGGTGAACCAGGATGTGAAACTGATCCACACAGTAATTCTTCTCTCCATTTCCCAGGACTGTGAGCTCCCCGTGCTCTCCCAAAGCAGTGCCACAGCTGTCCCTGCCCTCCCAAAGCAGTGCCACAGCTGTCCCTGCCCTCCCAAAGCAGTGCCACAGCTGTCCCTGCCCTCCCAAAGCAGTGCCACAGCTGTCCATGCCTGTTGCACAGCTGGGAGTCGCAGCCGTAGCTGTGACACTGCCAGGGGCCGGCATCCAGCTTTGTGCTGAAGGAAAACTCTTCCAACCCGTAGAGAACCTTTTCGCACACCTCAGCGACCTGGAGAACGCTGTTAATTATGAAGATCACTCGCATTCTCCTTATTATCATACTTTTTAACACCTAGACGGCATAGAAATCAGCTCTATCCATACGCAAAGAAAGCCGACGATGTTTTTCATGCAAATCTCGGGACACGAAGCAAACCATTTAAAAGCGCCCACGGCCAGCACGAGCAGCACCACGAGGAGAGCTGCCCGAAACCACCAGCCTGCCCCGAGATAGCCCGGCCGGTTCGCCGGGGCGCTGCCCCGCTCGCCGCTCCGAGCTCCGCACAACCGCGCTTCCTCAAGCACGGCCAAGCTTCCCCCGCCTCGGTGCAACAGCGGGGCCAGAGGAAGCGCCCGATTCCGGCGGGGCCCCGCCGCAGCCCGCAGGGCGAGCGCTGCCCCCCGCCCGCCGCCGCGCGTACCTCCACGGCCTGGCCCAGCTCCAGGTCGAAGCCCACCACGCACACGCAGTGCAGCCAGGCTGAGAAGCGGTTCCAGGGCAGCAGCGACAGACACTGATCGGGACTCTCCGGCTCCGCATCCTCCGCGGCCAGCACGGCACCGCCCGGCCCCTGCTCCGGGCCCCGCTCCCGCCGCGACATGGCCCCGACCCCGGCCCCGCCGTGCGGAGTCAGGTGACGCGCGTCGCCCCGCCCGCTCCCCCCGGAGCCGCTCGGAGTGGGAGGGGCCAAGCGGGCACCGAGGGGAGGCCAAACCATTCCTGCGGGGAGCGGGGGGTGGGGGCCGTAGGGAGGGAGCGCCCCCGCGCGGCCCGCCAGGGAAGGGCCGCGGTGCCCTGCAGGCGGGCGGCGCCGGGCGGGCCGGAGGCGGCTCCTCTCTCGGGGCGGCGGGCACCGCTCCGGCCCGGGCAGCCCGCCTCACGCTGCTCAGCCCGCCAGGGCAGCTCTATCAGCTTTCTGTTCCCTTGGACGTGTCAGTGACAGCACCTGCTGCGGGCCGCCGTGGCCGCCAAATAATTAACCGGTGTGTCTCCGTGTCCTGCGCACCGCTGAGCACGGCACGGGAGGGACATGGAAATACCCCTCTGGCTGGTGGCTGGACAGCTTCACCCTCACAGGAAACTGGGGTAATTTAAAAAAAAAGCATCCAAATCTCTTAAACCCTCTTTTAGTGCCTTAGCCAAATCCCAAGCTCTTTAATAATGTAAGAGCTTTCAAATATTCTTTTAGCACAGTCCAACAGCTATTTATATTTCATTATGAAACACTTTGTAGAGTTAAAAGGGCTAAATAGGTAATTTATTTAACAATAAAGAGAAAAATAAAATATCATGCATGCATCTCCCCCGAACTCCTGACCTCTTTTAATTTAATTATTCACATTAGACTTTTGGTTGACTGCTACTAGAACAGTCAGCAGCAGTAGGTGTAGATGAGCTGCTACCTCACTCACTACATGCCATTTTTTCTCCTTGCAAATATTAAAACCAAGATAATACATCTATACGTACTTAAAAGAAAATGTATGACTCCTTAGATGCACTGTTTCCTTAAGGCCCATTAACAACATTTGTTTATCTATTGAAAGCAAACTCTAGAAATTAAAGTATGCTTTGATCATTGGAGTAATTTTCTAGACAAAAGATGAACATATAACTCAGACAAAATTATAACACACAAAATTATCATGGTAAATAACTTGAGATACAGCAGCCTTCAGTTATGATACACCATGAGTAGTGAAGTGAATGTTAGATACAAACTGAGATAGGAATGGGGTTATGCAGTGTGCAGCCTCAGGCAGGGCTCTGTGGGAAGGTTCTCGCTGTCTCCAGCTGCTTCAGGTATTTTGCAGTGATACCATGCAAGACTCACTGATTTTTCAAGTAGTTAACTCCTAAATTCTGTAGAAGATTACTCTTGACAAAAAGACATGACTAAGACTGAACTTGATTAAGTTCAACTCAGCGCAATGAGTCTCAGTGAAATTTCATTTGCTGTTTCCATTTAAGAATTGAAATGGCCTGGCCAAAAGTTTTTATCACTTGGTTTAAGAAAAGATTTCATGTCACTGCCTCTTATAAGCCTTCCCTTGTTTATATTCTTGCAAACCAAAATTTTTAGCTATTATCATCATGTATGTCCTTCTAGATTTGCTGGCCCCTTTTTAAATTTCCATGTGAATAAGAAGTGTATCTATGTGAAATGATAATAATGAAGTACTTAGTAAGAGTGTACATTTTATTAAACAGTAAATTAATTCCACTAGATGCTTAAAAAATAGTCTTTTGTCAGGAGAAAGTTAAGAGAATAGACATGTGATCCCTGATAAAAAAAAGTACAGAAGAAAGGATTCTTACCTACTGGAGATTATTATATATTACCAATAAAGAGTGATTCAGAAGAATTTTTCACTTACCCATTTTAAATACATTTTAGTTTTGACAAAATATTATTATTTCCTTCAGTTGAGAAAGAAAAATATTTCTGCATGTATTGTAACATGTAGAAACATCTGAGTTTCTTCTTCAAGAAGAATCAATGTAGAGATTTCAGAGTTGGGAACCAACTAACTGAGACTATTTTGATACAACTTGCAATAAAGCTTCATAAAACACTAGGGCTCGGCATATGGAACGTGTCCTTACAAATCTCCAGGAACTCTGCCTTGTTTTGCAGAAATACAGCCATCTGTTAATATCTGGAAGGGTTTGGACAAGAGACACTGCTAGAAAAAGCATGCCTTTGATGTCAGTTGCTGGAATAAAAATGAGAAAAGGCCAAGGTGGGACAGCTGGGTTCTAAATATCCACAACTGCCCAATGTTTGAGCCTGCCTTGCTTTCTTCCATGCTCTATCTTGCTCCTACAGCTGTGCTCTCCGTGGCGCTGTCCTGCGTCTCTCAGCACGATGGTTTCTATCAGGTAGCAGCAAATGTTGTGTTGGCTGCTGGCTGGCCGGGTTCCATCAGCTTCAGCAGGGAGTGACTGTGCAGACTGCCCACATCCACAGGGAAACACCAAAGAACTGCATAAACATCATCTGCTCATCTCATCTTCCCCTCCATCCCCTGCCTCAAGATTTAAAGCAGTATTTTATTTGTATTTGAAAATTATATTTCGTCTAATGAATACATTCAGTTAAATACACACACGCACAAAAAGTCATAATTATTTTTAAAACATCTTTTCCATTTTTCAAACAGCCACAGAAAACATCAAACATTTCAAAAAGTCAATATTAATTTATCTGTTAAATTGATATATTAATAGAAAAGCAAATAAGAGCTGGTCACATGATGACTATGTTCTGCTAATATGATATAGCAGTGAAAATGCCAAATATTTCAACGTGCCTGATTTAATTTGAAATGAAAAAACAATGCATGTAAAATTAGCTATGTATTAGCACAACATGTATTAATGGTATGCATGTTACATTATACTTATTTATATATACCAAACACATGTAGTATCAACATACTATGTGATGTACATTATATATATAAACAGATAGGATATATAGCACATAATAATAGATTTTAAATCATTGTATAAAATAATAATTCATATTTATTACATAATCTAAATTGAATAGGACATTCAGTATATGCTCACTACATATATTACACTAATATAAATATTATGTTGGTAAGACACTCATTTGTATACTGGATACAGGAATCCTTTTTTTAATGCAAACCAGAAATAGAAGCAGGAAAGGATCTGAAAGAAAATGGAATAAATGGAGAACCTACCTGACAAGAGAGGATTAAACTGGTAGTTGCTTATTCTGTCACAATTAATACTGAAAGATAATGCAATTTTTTTTTTTTTACACAACCAGTCAGAGAGTTAAAAGATCACAAACAGAAAATAAGGCTGAAACTAAAGAAGAAGAATAGCACTAAAATAAAAATGTGTAACCCCTTCACTAAATCTGAGGGGATAATTAGAAAAATTTTTTTAAACACTGGAGAAAACTTCTTTGAAACAGTTCCTTTTTTTGACAGCTAAGTTCAGAATGTTTTAGAAGTTACTTCTGAGGCAAGTTTGTTTTGCAAAAGATACATAAGGATATAAGTAACAGTTCAAACTTTGCTTTATGTTTCCACACTGCTCTATACAGTAGAAAATGCTTTATTAGACTGTCATATTTTAAATGTGGTATGGCTATTATACATGGAATTTGTTGTATGTCTGAAAATCAGTACAAAACTGATTGGATAAATTGTTGATGGATGAGTTTCAGGGATGAGAACTCAATAGAAAACTGCATCTCCAAGTTTCTCCTTACCTGTTTATTCTGATTTCTTTATCAGTTTGCATCTTAATTTTTACACTAGAAAAAGAACTTTTGCTATACAGCATGCCTCAGTCATTTCAAATGTAACAACTTCACGGGAATCAGCATCTCCCGCTAAGCAACTGGTTCATACTTCTGCACTGAAAACTCAGTCTGATACATATTAATTACTTTGGAAGCCTTTTAAACCATCATTGCTCAGTAGGCAGAAATCTGGCACTGAGTTGTCTATAATGCTGCTCGGTGTTTTTCTTTCTGAGTCAGTTAGCTCACTATTCAAAACAGGCTTCCTTCAGCAAAAGATCTCATTTTTCATCAAGTCATTAAGACTTTGACACCCTCAAGCCAAAATCCAGATGTTTTTCAGGTATGCACATGAACTATCTCAGCTGCATTGCATCCGCCTGAAACAGACAGCAGCTCTTTAGGAGACAGCTGTGACAGTGACAGCCCCCTGAAGAGCTCCCTTTCCCTTACCCAAGATGGACACGGAGGCTCTTCCTGCCCTCAGCTATGATGGCTATCCTAACATTGTCATGGACTTCCTGCCCAGAAAACGGAGGGACACGGTTGGCTCCTGCTGCCCGTACCTAACATGGCCGCGAGGCGCCCTGCCCGCTTCAGCTGTGTGGCAGGAGCGAGGCAGGAGCGAGGCAGGAGTGACACTTCTCCCTCCTCCTCCTCTGAGCACAGCACGGCGGCCGAGCACTTCACAGGGAACTCCGCGTCCACCTGTTGCTTTCCACACTTCTGGGATGGACGCTTCCTGGTAAGCAGCAGACACATCGTAACATCCATACAACAACAGTACACTCATTTCAGAATGTAACCGCTTTCTGTGTTTTCATCTTAGCTTTTGACTCTGCCCCTGATAACCTCTGAACTCGTCAGGCAATTTGAAATAGGAGCTGAAAAGCCTGAGGGATAACTACACCCACGCAGCTCTGCTGAGAGCTGGCACCCATGCAGAGAAGGAAGGGTCAGATTAATGGCCTCGATGAGCAGTGGGTACAGCTCAGCTGTTACATGAGCCATTTGGCAGTGCCAGAGGACTAGAAAGGCACATACCATTGCCATCTGGTTTTCTCATACCATTGCGTGAGCCTGTCAGAGTGGGATTTCTCCAGAGGATGAAGAAGGGTTAAGGAAAACATGATATGCCAGTGGCTTACAGTTTAAATGACACAGATATATTATTATTATGTTATTATAAATACTTAGAACATCAGAGAAAGGTATCCACTGCTCAGTTTATTATTTTACCTGATTCTCTTAGGCCCTATAGATGGTAATGGATTTTTTCATCTCTAATTTAACTTTCAATCTCCTTTCTCCATTAAACATGTACACAAAAATATAAAAAAATGCTCTCAGAAACATTATTTTCATTCCAACACCTGCAGTACTTTGTCCCCACTTTTTACACTTTGCAATTCCAAAGTGCTCTCAATTATTTCTACTTTTGCAACTCATTCCTTCAAATGTAACTCCTAATGGACCTAAATTTATTCCCACTTTCTCCACTTTCCTTTTATACCTTTCCTTCTCCCTTTGATTAGTTATGGCACATTGTGTGCTGTAAGCAACAGCCACACTGAATTTCCACTTACTAAAAAATATAGTAAAAGCAAATTATGATTATATTTATCAGAGTAGTACAATCTCATAAGCCGATGAAAGCCATGAAGGGATGTGCCAGCTTTTTTTTTTTTTTTTCCTGTCAGGAGAATTAAAACTACAGATAAACAGTTCTAAACATTCCACCTATCATTGTTTGTTTTTGTCTTCACAAAATCAGACTTGTCTTTAGTCTTGGATTTCATTTCTCTGTTTCAAACACAGATCTACAGCCTAGTTTTCCTGTTGTTTTCTCACTGGATCGTTGGGGAAAAAAACTAGTCTGTTATGAATCAACCTCCTTTCCTCCAATCACAGTGCAGTCAAAAACAAAAGGAAAAAAAAATGAAGGCAGCCCTGAGATTTTACTGTGCAACAACTAAGAACGCACCAAACATGCTTTGTCTCATACACTGCCCTGCCTTACCTTGATCCCTGCTTTTCCTCTCATCCACTGCTGAAGTGCCTGGCCCAGCTCCACTCACGTCCTCCATGGCTGGCAGCTCTTTCTGCCATCTCCCATATCCCTAATCCTAACACCCTGTCACCGGGTAATTATAGTGCTGGCATGACCCCAATATCTATCTTACAGCAACAATTCCCACTTGTTTGCTTTACAGAGAATGACGGAATTAAAAATGTATTTGGACTGGAGAGACTCGTTTGGCACCGAGTGACCTTGACAAGTGACCTTTCCTTGGCTTCTAGAAAACAGGCATAAATATGACCTTGGATGATGCTCCGTGGTGTACTGAAGGAAGACACAGCACCAGTGACCCCACCTCAGTCCTGTCCCTGCAGCCACTGCTCCAGGAGTGCCCCTGCTCCAGCTGCCAACCTGCAACAAGACATGGCAAACATGGCCAGCATTCCTCCGGTGCCAAGACACGTCAAACCACCCGCGGCTCCCCAGGTTTTTAATCCGCTGTCATAAAACGACCAGATGTGCACAGGGAAAGCCAGGAGGATGTTCAGGAGATACTTGGAGTTTCTCACGCAAACTCTGCTGAGAACGTGTCACCTCAGCTACTCCTCTGAGCTGCGCACTTTGACAGAATCACAGAATATCCCGAGTTGGAATCAGATCATCGAGTCCAGCTCCTGGCCCTGCACACGGTGCCTGCCCCAAGAATCCCACCGTGTGCCTGAGAGCTGAGAGCATTGTCCAAAAGGTTTGTGAACTGGCAGTCTTGGGGCCACGACCACTTCCCTGGGAAGCCTATTCCAGTGCTCGACCACCCCCTGGGTGAAAAGCCTTCTCCTAAAATCCAACCTAAACCTCCCCTGACACAACTTCGGGCCACTCCTTCCCGCTTATTTATAAGGGCTTACGGGCTCTGCTCGCGCCCTCCCTCCCGGAGCTGAGAACAGCGAGGGCAAAGCGACGGCACGGGGCCGGGGCTCACTCACCTCAGCAACCTGCCCCGTGCCGGCTCGTCCCCGCCGCGCCCTTCGGGAGGAGCACCGGCCCCTCTCCCGCACCCCGCACCCCGCTCCCCTCCCGGCCCGCCGCCCCCTCCCCGCCGCCCGGAGCGGGGCGTGGCCCGCCCGTGCCGCAGCCTCACCGTGCGCAAGGCGCGTGCGCGGGGCCCGCCGGTGCGCACGCTGCCCGCCCCCGGCCCCGCCCCGCCCGGCCCCGCCGCCGCGGCCACACCGGGAAGGGCTCCAGGCGCTATGGCGGCGGCTGCGCGCAAGGTAAGGGGGGAGCGGGGCGCGTCCCGTGCCGCCCATGGGGCCGAGGAGACGCGGGGGGACGCGCCGAGGGACGCGCCTGACCCGGTTTGTTTTGGGCCCCGCAGGTTGGAGGAAACTTCCCGCGGCCGGTGGCCTCCTGAGCGGCAGAGCGACAGAGCGGGAGCGGCCGGGCCCGGCCGCCAGGCCTCTCCCGCCGCCGGGGCAGCGGAGCCGCGCTGGGCGGGCGGAGAGCGCGGGGGTGCGCAGCGGGCCCGCCTCATGCGCAGTCACCTGCGGAGGGGCTGAGCGGAGCAGCCGCCTCCGCCGCGCCCCGCGCCGCGGGCTCCCGGCGGGCACTTCCCGGGGCAGCCCCCGTTACAGCGCTGCGGAGCCGCCGCCGAGGGACGCGCACCGACCCCGCCGCCAGCCGGAGCCGCCGCCGCGCAGCGACCTGTCAGGGCACCTCGCAGGCCGGCCCCAAGAACCCTTCCCACGCGCTGGTTTGTCCCCGGGAGAAGGCGAGTTGGGAGCCTCTCCATGCCTTATCAAGTTCCTTATCCGAGCGGCTCCCAGAAGCTGTAGACCAGTTCAGCTTTATCTGGTGTAAGGGAGAAAAACAGTGTAGTTCTCGCACTCCATCCTATATCGAGGACCACCTATTCTGCCGGGGTTTAACACAGAAGATGATGAAATGCAGTTTGCTGGGTGAACCATTAGGTCCCTGTTGTGGAACGAGGGCTTTGTATTCACCTTCTAGTTCCTGATCTGTGTGGTGAGAGGACGCTAATCTTTCTCCTTCATCCCCCTTCCCTAAACCTTTCCTTGCTTCAATGTTGCATTGGTCAGACTTTTGGTCAGTGTTGTTTACGGAAGGGGGGTGGGAACAAGGCAGTTGAGGTTACAAACAAAAGTACTTGTATGACTCATCTACTTGGATTTAAGACGTTGTATCCTTCTTTCACGGGGCCTTTGCTTCTCTCTGAAGGAATCAGATGCTTTTTCCTATTCTTCCAGAGGAGGATGGATTGAAAGTTGTATGTTTTAGACTTTTTTTGGGCCACTGCTGATATTAAAAGACATAATGGGACTTTTTCACTGGATTATTGCCAGAATTAGTTTACACACTGAAACAATGAGTTGTTAGGCCTCTCATATGATAATATTTGTCCTGCTTTAATATAAAGTTGCTGTGGAGGTGTTTTTAAAATTGTGGAGGACGGTCTGCATCAGAAGAGGCTCTCTTCATCTCTGGTTGGTGTGGCAACCACAATCTGTCCTCGATGCCTTCAGCCTTGGCCATCTTCACTTGCCGCCCGAACTCCCACCCATTTCAGGAGCGTCATGTCTACCTGGACGAGCCTGTCAAGATCGGCCGCTCCGTGGCTCGCTGCCGGCCAGCCCAGAACAATGCCACGTTTGACTGCAAGGTGCTGTCCAGGAACCATGCTCTTGTCTGGTTTGATCACAAGACAGGCAAGGTAAGATGTTATTTAGAAACACTGAAACTGCCTATTTGTTTTAGCAAGTCCCCGTAGATTGCGGATCGCTCTGGTTTTGCCGTCATAAATACGGTTGCATAGGGCAAGAGTAAGATTTGTTTTAAAGTGGTAATTTTCCAGGTAAATTGGTAATTTCTTACTAAGCAGAAACTTTGAATATTGTGAAAAGTATATGAAACTAACAGTTGAAAATGGTTAGTTGAAAGGTTTTGCTTAGTTCTTACTGGAAATAGGTGATTTTGAGGTGAGATGTGCAAATGTGAAAGCACATTGTGTTGATATAGTGGTGTAATAGTATTTATTTTCAAATGCAGAGAAACCACTGTTTTATCAATGTGTGAAAATTGATCATGAGAAGTGTTGAAAAATGGATTTTAAAAATATACTGTTCTTATTTGGCACTCTTCTTACTTGTCCTTTTGAAATTTTGTGGAGTATTTTGTTTGGTTCCAATAGGAGGTTTATTACTGGCAACAGGAGTGTAATGGGTGGCATTCGTGAAATAGTCTTATTGAAGTGAAAATGGTTTTAAAATACATCCTGTGTTCTTAAGTGTTCCTCTCTAAAGTCTGGCAGTCTTGTTAAGCAAAATTGAGGGGTTCTGTAGTGCATATTTTGTCCACTAGGGATTGAACTGGGACAAGTAAAGTTGTTTTACTTAATGACTGTCAAGTTAATTTTAAATATCCAGCGAAAAATTAACAAAGGGCAGACTGCAGTTGCTCAGCACTGTATTTTTTTTTTCAACTATATTGATGTTATGCTCTAGAACTTAATATGAACTAAGCTGGTTTTTAGTTTCACACCAAGTCCTATGAAATGCAGTCAGTGTAGCTCTGGATTTTAAGAACAATATGGTCGGTAACTTGCAGATTTTTTCAGTAGTATGACACAGCATGAGGAGCAGTACAACGCAGGCACAGTTCTTAAACATTCCATTGTTAACTATCCTATATTACGCAATACTTGGACATGATGGGACAAGACAAGCATTTAATTTCTTAACGCTAGATTAAGGCTTTCAAGTTACCTGCAGGTAATTGTGCAAACTGCTATCTGTATTAAACGTTTCATTAAGCATCTTGCTTTGGCTCTATTGTGTACGTGATGTGCATTCTTGGATTCTAGAAAACTTAAGTGTTTGAAATACTTTCAGTTTAGTCTTTAGCCTTTCTTGTTTGATCCAACAAAGTAAAATGTTCCAAGTTATTGCTCTGTTTTTAAATTAAAAAGTATTATGCATATAGCTTTTTATCAACATTTCTTAGGACTTACCAAGATTTTAAGACCCCCATGTGCTTTATGGTTACAAATATGGTCTGTCGTTTTCAAGATGGTTAATTTGAGAAAGCACTGAGTGTTGAGCAAGTCTGCTAACTAATAGACAAGCTTCAAAAATCATCAGCTATGAGGATTTTTGTTTGTTTTTAAATTTCAGTTAGCTTTGGCTTCTCTAACATAGGTAAAAGTTTATATGCTTCCTCACTTATCTGTTTTAAAATAGCAACTTAGTAGTAGCAGTAATTAAAAGGATTATATTTGATTGTTCTGGAAATAACATCATGTGAAGATTTGACAGAAGTCTGATGAAACTTGCCAAGGTGGGCATCTGTAGCCATAGTAAACAACTAAAGAATGGGTTTGTGATCATGCCCTGTAATCCTCTCCTATTGCATGTTAGATATGGTGCTGTAAAAGGTTTAAAACATGGGTATAGCAGTGAGGAGAATTTCACATTCAGTGCTTGTTTGTTGGCTGTATGGTCGGGCTTTTGATCTGATTGAGTATTGGAATGGTGAACTGTGAGACAGTTGGAGGGGTGGGGGAAATGCACCATTAGAGATAATAGGTATCAAATGCTGTTGTGAAAAGGCAGGTCGAAGATACTGATAAATGCAGGCTTGATCTTGGATCACAAGAACTACTTACAAAAATTCTGTGGTGCTTTCAAAATATAAACAAAAACATGCCAGAACATTTACGTGAAGGAACATCTATTATCATTGTTTACATAACTGCTAATAAGCACATCTCATTTAGGAAATTGTCATTATCCTATCAATGACCTATATTTAAACCTGCACAAATTCTCTTTGTCAGAGTATTAGTAAACATTTCTTAGAACCTTATATATAGGGCATTCATCAATTCTGGATTTTTCAAAAGATAAAGGACCTTCAAATGGTCGTTTAGTAATGAGAAAAACCTTCAGATATTTCAAAATAGTTTGTTAATGATCTGGGACTACAGTTTCATAACTTGTGGACTTTGGCAATAACAGTTTTGGGCACTACCAGTCACTCCGTCCAGGCTCTATTGCCTCTTGAGCTGCCTTTCAGTTATACTATATTACTTTTTTTTTTTCTTTCTTTTTTTTATGAGGGCTTGGAGTTTTATTTAGTGAATCATGTGAGTGATCCTCTTTACTGCATAGTCTGTAAACAATTTTGTCAGTATTATCTGTAAATAGGGGTAGAACCTGAAGAGAGGGAGCATCAGTAAATTATGCCAAGGAAAGTAGTACAGAATTTTTTTCCTAAGGCAGAGGAAGGTATAAGCTGAAATATGTTGCATAAGTAGACCAAGCTGAAGATAACATGTTACTTACAGCTGAAAGATGTGAATGTTTCTTTTGTATAAAGGCACTTTAATTATACATGAAGAAAGTCATTTGCCATGGGAGATAATGTCTATGTAACACTAGCATTATTAAGGTTGAAAATAGAATGAGATTTCAAGATCACCAATACATAGGAATTAAAAGAAGGTACTTAAAGTTGGATTTGCTTTTAAAAATATTTTAAACATAATATGTAAGCCTAAGTATGTGTATGATAAAGGTGGAAGGAGATGGTGGTGGGATTATCTTGGAGTTTTTCTGTGCATAGTAATATTTTTATAGACAACCAGTGCAATGCCTCTTCCTGCCTGTGTTTGTAGATACAGCATAATAACTCCTAGTTAACTAGTGGATTTTTCATGCAGTGATAACATTAGAATATTATAATTAGAATTCATTTTGGTTTTATTTTTTTTTTTAGTAATTACAAGTTAATGAATCTGGGTTTTTTTTATAGGTGCCTGAAAAAGTGACTCACTATATACGTAGGAAGTAGATGTGCTGAGCATGGAGTGTTCCAAAAAGTGTGAATCAAAGCAAAAGAAAAAGTGGGCTATACTTCAGAAAATCTAAACGTGTTTGTTCAGCTCAAATCACTGCATATGGGAAGAAACTCTTAAAAATTGTGTAACTGAAATAATCTTAAACGTGGTTTTTTGGGTTTTGTTTTAATTTCTAAAAATAAGCAAGTGGAAGACCTTTGAGAATTTGTATGTGACTTCCAGGCTGAAATGCTTCTGACAGATGTTGTAGAAGCTCTTAGGAGAAACCTGAAGCTTCCAAATAGATATCCAGGCTTTCAAAATCTCAAATCATTCAGCGCCTGACATTGTTGTGAGTTCCTATTTATAAGTACCTTTTATAGGGAATTAATTGCTACAGATTACCAAAGGCTCTGAGAAACTGTGAAAAATATTTTCTTAGATCAAAAGCACCCCAAAGAGCCAGTCATTTTTAATAACTGAAAAAACAGTGGAGGCACAAGTTGATGTGTTAATGGTAGCTAATGCTGTTGTTTTCGTTTAATTCAAAGTGGATGTGAATTGAATTGAGCATATTCATATATTGGTAATGGAAATGTTAAGTAGTATATTGAAGTCCATAGTCCCCATAACAGTAAATGAAATTCATTACAGCTGTGTATTATGGCTTCTAGACTTATAATATGTGAGATAAAAATACTACAAAATACTTAAAGAAAACAAACACTGAACAGATTCCCTCTCCTCCCAATAAAACCCTCAAAAAACCAAACAGCAAAAGAACCAACCAAAAATCCAAGAAAACCCAAACCCAACCAATGATACCAAACCCCAACAACTGAAAACAACCAGCCCAAAGGCGCAGCCAGTTTAAAGTGATGTGAAGGACGCAGTGAAGTTTACTCTGGTTGTGTTTGGGATGACACCAAGCCTGTGAGTGTTGGTGTGGTGGGGGTGAGTTGGGCTGCTCAAGGGCAGGGCTGCCACCCACTGGGACCTCCCTGCTGAATGAAGGGGCAGACAGGAGCCTCAGGACAAACACGAGGCTGCACTTGGAAAGGAAGAACCCCTTGCAGCTTATTAGACCCTGCCTAGCATACTGCACTTAATTTTGGACGACTAATGCAAGAAATACATTGACAAACAGGAGTTGAGATTAGATAGTCTTTTTTTGCTGTATTGTACTAGGGAGTAAAGTAAATTGATATGAAAGAAAGCAAACAAAATTAGTAAAGAGGAAATATGTTACTCACTTTACATTACATAAAATGTTTTGTTGAGAACTTGGCATGATTCAGGAAAGCACAGAGCATTTTTTTTGGACATTCTGTTTGTTCAGAAGTGTTTTAGTAAATTTGTCTTAAAAAACTAAGTGGGATATGAAAAATGCTATTTGGAATTGCAGGGTTTTGGTGGGAATTTTTTTTTCCTGCTGCTTCCAGTGGAGAATCCTGTGTGATACTCTGGCCTATTTAGTGCTGATCTATATAAAATGTATTTAGTTTCCCATGTATCAGTAGCACTTATTTTGATAGATACCATGTCTGTTATTTGTTTTTTCCTCTATCATATCTTTTCAACTTTCTTTTAGGATTGTTGTCCAAGAGATGAACAGATGTTTTCTTTTTCAGTACTCTTGATGTTTCTGTATGCTTACAGTCTGCAGTGAAGATGTTGTCTTTGAAACATGGAATGTTTGTTCCAAGTGCCCAGGGGGACTGACCTGGGATTTGCTGTAATGCACGGAGCTGAAACACCAGTGCTTAGGTGCTTCTGGTAAGAGGGTGATGTCAGGCAGCCCTCACATACACCTGTTCATATTTTTATGTAAGTGCTTTTCACCCCGAATGAACCATCCCATTTTACACTGATATGAT